GCGGGAAAGAGTTAAAATGTACTAAATCAGTGATCTGCTGCACAAGTTCGCAGTTAGCTCTCCTATCTGATGTATTTCACTTACAGCTAAAACACCAGCATTCTACACAGACCTCCCATTCTCGAGGGGTTCTCCCAGCGGTTCATTACAGAACAAAAAGTATTTGGTCATACTAATCAGAAAGAAAAAAAAAAAAGGAAGTTCTTTGAAAAGTAAAACCTTATTACAGCTCTGAAAATTCCATAGGAAGTGAAAGATCATCAGCTTGCTGATGTATGATATTTCAAGTGCTTCTGGAAACGAGTTAAGTCCCACAGCCTTTTAAGTTTAAAACTCTGACTTCTACCCAGCAACCCTCCACCTCTCTGCTCACTAACACGTTTTCTCCCGAAAAGTCTCAAGGTATTTTTCAGGAAGAGTTTTGGGAGCTAAGATGCAGTTTAACCACACATTGTAAACAAAAGAATTAAAAAACCTCTACATATGAAACCACTGCCATCATACACATGGTTTGCTTTAAAACAAGTCAAAATAAAAGAAATACTAACAATCTAATATGTGATATTTTAAAACATTAATTATGTGTAAGTTTGGGAATGTGTGGATTTTCTTACTTATTAGCATCATTTAAAGTGATTCCAATCTGAATGAATTAGTAGGGTTTTAAGGATTCCCCACACACCCCCTCCATGCCGAGAAAGATTCAAGAACCACACAAATTAAAAAACCAACCTTATGTATGCAAACTAGCTAACTCTGAAGGTATAGATAAGCCATAGACTGCCCTTTTTTTTCATGTGACATTCATACTTCACCATACTTAAAAGAATAACTAAAATTCAAACCTAGAAAAACCCCCACCCTTGTGATTAACAAAATAAGGAAGGTGCTATGCTCGATTTCCACTGCCACCAACTACGGAAATTCTGTCTAACCTTCTCTGACCCCCATTACCTACATGGGGAAAAATGAAATGAGCAATATGAAAACAAATCTTAGCCATTCCAAGCAGCTGAGTCACTATACTGCATAGTTTTATTTAAACCATTCTGAAAGCCAAAAAAAACAAACCCAATTTTACTTCAAAGCCTAACACACCGCAAGATTCTAGCACCTGCATAACATTTTTAAAGCATTTTCAAGCCTTTTACTACATTCTTTAAGTGACAATCAACAATGTCAAATACTGTGTCCGTACATTAAAGAAAATGAGATAAACTCACCTACAAGCCTTTCTTTTTTTTATTCCAATGCTGTTTAAATGAAAAATAACTCTATACATCTACCTTTGCTCAGAAAGGCGGTAAAGAGGAAAGAAAAGAGTTCATAGTCATCAGAGAGAAACCTGTGCCAGTAGTCTGTATATTCATGCCATGTAAGCTAGTACTGCATGTATTGAGTAAAGATCTCAATGCAAAACTTACGGAGCAGGAAGAGGGTTGACAAAAGAAACCTCAAGTACTACACATTCTCATTGACATTCTCTATTTATATGAAATCCACAATCATTCTAAATAGCTAATAAAACCACCACCGTAAAAGGATCCTGCAAGATCACATGAGTATGAAAGGGGGTAGGCCTACATACAGAGCAGCAACAAAAAAATCTCTGTTCCTCCTGTATTCAAAGAACCAGGAAAACCCCTGACACACTGAGAGAAAATGGCTGGTGAAGGGAGCTTACTGTCATCCAAAATTTTCACAGAGGAAGAGCACTTCTGGGAAATTAGATAAGTTTCAAAGTGAACTTAAATACAAGCTTCTGGGTTTAGTTAACTTTCAGACTTTCCTGAACAACACGTAAGATTTTAAAGCTATTTTCTTGGATATTGTAAAAGAAATCACCTTTGTCACAGGCATTAAAGCCTGCACTGACTTTTGAACTGCAAACAAGGTTCACAGGAAGAAATTTTTTAAGGTAAACACCCAAGAATATTAACAAGCCTACTTCCTCCTCAGATCACAAATCATTTCTATTCCACACTAAACCAAGCAGGAAAACGTGTATGTTCATTAGCTTCTGTGAAGCTAATAAAGTTAATTATACTCCTGTTTTTTTACTATTTCACACTGCTCCCAGTTCTTACAGAATACAACCAAAGTCAGGGATAAATTTCCTCCTCGACCCAAGGAACAGGAAGTAACAACACACTAAAACTTCACACACAAAGCCTCACAAGGCTTCAGTAACCCTCTGCTGACATTACCAAGTGGGGACTGGTATGCAGGTACAAGGCTCAAGCGTGAAAACTTTGGTTCCATGATTGCAACACAAACACTGTGCAATACACAAGTACCAATGTGATGATCCGAGTCAGAGAAGTATTAAGAGGGAAGGTCTTTCCAAGAGAAGCAGGGAAACATCTCAGACTCAAAACATGGTCTGCAATTAGTCTGTAATTTCTGACAGCATTTGTTTCTTGAAAATTTCATATGCATTTCTGCAGCAGCAAAAACAGGATATAACATTAGGGTGTGTGTTCCGATCTGGAAAATTATCTTTGTTTCAAAAGATGAGCTCATGTGAAAGCTTCCAACCCTCTGATTTATTTTGAAGAGGTAGAGGTGCTGCAATGACACAAACGTGACTGCATTGGAGTCTGTATCATCTGGCATTTTTCAAAATGTTGAATTGTTTGGAGCATGATCCAGAACTTCCACATTTCTCTATAAAATAATTTCTTATGAGATACTTAAGAGAAAACAGGGAAATCCTGCCGTAACTTTCTCATTACTGTATTAGGCTTAGATATTTCGATCTCGGTGTAAACAGTACTGACCACACTGATTTCTATTTAGAGATCCACGAGTTTAACACCCCAGTCTTCCTCATTAAAAAAAAAAAAACAAAACAAAACCACAAAAACAACAACCCAAACAAAAGAAAATTTGGTTTGCCATAGGGATGTTTTGCAGATAAAAATAAAGATTTCCACGCAACTTTCTATCGCACTGGGAAAAATGACTCGAGAAGCAACTCCGCTCCGCAAGATAAAAATGGCTCAGGCGGACGGGCAGCGTCGCCTTAAGAGGAAGGTCAGGCTCCGTCCCTCCGCACCCGGCTAAGCCCGGGCCCCGGTGCGGACGGGGACTAGAAAGAAGTACCCGATCCCGAACCCGCACTGTGTTAGGACACCTACATTGACAGTCATGTTACTGTGAGGGAAAGGAAGAGGGAAAAGATATAACGCACCCAGACTCGCCGGGAAAGTTTCACCTACCGCAGCAGGGCCAGGTCCGGCATAGAACAGGGAGGAGTAGCAGGGGGCGGTACCGAGCGAACAAACAACAGGCTCGCCCCGCACAAAGCGTGGTTCCGAGTTTTGCTTATCTACACATCAGTGAGAGGTAGAAAACTTTCCGCTCGTACCTCTTACAGCTGTTGAACAGACCTGAGCCGCCTCTGAGCGTAGACGTCACCGCTGTTTAAGGCAGAGATCTCGCCGGTGGATAAGAGAACTGGCTTTAGCCGCCTATTATTATACATCTACCAAGCCACGTTCACTAACCCTTAGAATGTCATCGTGAGTGCGGCCGTTAGGAATTACGCTTTCGGTTTTGATTTTTAGTCTGCCTCAGGATACAGAAGCGAGGGAACGCAAGCCTGCCGGCTCCGAAGATGGCGGCGGAGCACAGGGTTGGCAGGAGGGACGTGCCGCCCTGCGCGCCAGCACCCGCCGGCGCCGTCGGGTGTCGGTTTCGCAGGAAATGGCTTCCGAGTATCCGAGGAGGTCGGCTCGGCAGTAGTGTGGTCGTGAGTTCAGTGTGTGTACAGACGTCTGTGGGACTAGGTTGCTAGTATGAGAAAAGACGAGAGCTTTTTATTAGCCCCAGAAGCTGTCAGTAACACCTTTTTCCAGTGAGCAATTACAGACTTGGGGTAAGTGTGGGTATGTGTTTCGGCGGGAGTTTACACAAGAAAGCCCTTCCTTGGCTCTTGTCTTGTTGTGAGTTCGTTCACAGGATAATATTGTACAGGTGTCGGAAAGTTGTGTGCTTCCCATTTATTGTATAATCTTCAGTAAATTTTAAGTAATGCCTTATTCCTGTAAACTGGGTGTTGTTGATGCCCTTTGGTATAAACCAGCAATTTTCATGAAGTGACTTAGTCTGGTGAGCTACTATTGTAGCTGGAGTTGCTCTCTTAAAGGCTTAAAATCTGAAATTTTAGGCTATTTTATCTGCTGAAACAGACAAAAGCCACCTCCATATGTGGTGAAATTAGACTCACAATAGATAATTTCCATCTCAGTGGAATGCTTTCAAGCGTTTACAAAACTTTTTTTTTTGGTGCTGCTGGAAATACAGCAGTGAAATCACAGTACTGTGGGATAGCACACTTGTGGTAAGAGTTAACCCTGTCTTTGAACCTGCAGGGAAAACGGGCAGAAAGTAATCACCTGAGACAAGGAAGTACAAAATGAAATATAATCCTTTGTAAAATAAGAAAATTAAGTTTTAAGTAACTTTAAGTTTGGTGGCTTTGTACATAACAACAAAACTTTCCAAACCTAAAAAGCCCAATTAAAAGAGCATAAAAGGATCCTTGTATAAGATAAATCATTGTAGCTGACAGTTTTAGGACCTTACGACCTTTGGACAAAATTTATTGTAACCAAAACAGGACTGTAGCTAAGGAGTATCTGAAACTAGCAGATGTTCAGGAGGTGCTGTAGCAAGTTAACTGATAAGTAGAAGGACGAGGAGAAATCACTCACTATTGTCAGTGGTGTTACCAAACTAATAAAGCTGGTGTAAGCATTTATCTACTGCGCATGCTTCAAAGACTTCCAGAACAAGGGTTCAAGGAACGGGCAAGTGATGAAGATCGTTGGAAGAAGTAAACGACCACCGAAGACCACTACCACGTTGTTATGCGCATGCGAAAATAGGCGTGGAATTATGTAAA